GATTAAGCTATTACCATATGGCCCCAAATCCCTACCTTTTCTGGTATGGCCCCAGGATCCCAGTTAAGCAAAGATGCTCTTAACAGACATAACATTATGACGGCTTAGAGAGCACCTCCCAGGATTCCAGGGCAAAGCCCAGGCCTCTCTTTGGGCACAAATAATGCTTTATACTACACGGGGCTAAACCAGTTGTGCTTAACTTATTTCCACAGAATGTTACAATCCCACATTTACAAATTATCCTTATGATCAAAACTAAGGAAAGACATCCACCTCCCCCTCTCCAGTAAAAGACTTCCAGCCACACAACAGGACAAGTCTACCTGGGACCACCCTCCTTATGGAGAAACCTTTGTAAACATCAAATATGGGTTTCCAGGTGGAGCTTCGGTGAGAGAGGCTACATCTTGTCCTTTCCCTAACTTTCTCTCTAGATTTTGGGGGTTCATTTATCTCTTCTAGCTTTCCATGGATTTATTGCTGGGGCTGCCTATGTGGTTTGAATTTGTTGATTTTTCAAAGCAACTGAAAAAAGTCTTTTGAGAGTGATAAAAATAAACTGTGTTTATAGATGTGAAAGATGCAAGTAATTAAAAGTTATCAAGCACCTGTTTCTAGATGTTTCCAATATATATTTGAGGATTATCTCCTCACTACAAAAAACAATTCCATGTCATTTTTCCTACTAGATTGAAGACAAATGTATTTTAACATTTGATTGTCTGTTGCCAGATCATGTAACCCTAAAAACCTTTAGAATAATTAAATAGAAATGTGCAGTTCCTTATCCCACACAACACAGTCTTGACTTACTAGCATATTCTTCCAAAATCTGCCATTAGCCAGCTGTGTGACCTTGCCATTTTAACCCTCTGGTTCTGTTCCTTTTTTTCTGTCAAATAAATGTGTTGGACCAGATCATTTTTAAACTTCCTTCTGCTTCTAGCAATTCTCCCTCAGAATAAGGTAACATTTTATAAATGAGGATTCCTGAAGCCTGAGAGGGCTATATAAATAAGAATCTACTTTTCCCCAACATTTACTCTTTGTAATTCAAAGGAAAAAATAAACAATCTTTAGATAAAATACATAAAATAACTAATGTTCAAAAACGGAGCTCAGCTGAGTAAACTTGAAGATCTAATTGGCTTTACTAAGTGATTCATGAGTCAGGCAACATCCCATCTAGCAACAGGAAGCGTGTTAAGTTGAGACCCTCCAAATGGAAGATTCTTTATAGGCAGAAAGAGGGTGGGACTAAGAAGTTAAAGGATTTGAATTATTTCAGACAAGAACCCTTCCCTTCGGGAAGGCGGGGGTCTTATCAAGCAGATGACCCCCACTAGTGAGGACCAAGAAACTCAATACTGATTGGCTTAAAATTCCACGCCTGGCAAAGTCTGAGACTGCATTAGGTTAGTTATTAAATTTTGTTTTGGCAAAAGTGACTCCCTTTTGGTCCATTGATTCTTCTTTCTTTTTTTTAAAAAAAAAATCTTTATTGTTGAAAGTATTATATATGCCTCCTTTTCTCTCCCATCCACTGATCCTTTTTTTAACACTAAATATTTTTTAAAGCATACCATTACTACCTGGCTGGCATGGCTCAGTGGTTGAGCATCGATCTATGAACCAGGGTTGCTGGCTCGATCCCCAGTAAGGGGCGTGCAGGAGCCAGCCGATCAATGATTCTCTCTCATCATTGATGTTTCTATCTCTCTCCCTTCCTCTCTGAAACCAATAAAAATATATTTTAAAAAACAAACAAACAAAAATACCATTACTTCCTTAACAAATACTTATAGAGCACCGACCATGTGCTAATCAGGCATATTTGAAAAATTTATCTACATTTTGTGAATAAAGTATATTGTGAGTAAAATGTCAGTTAAATGGAGATGTTATAATTTCCTGCCTAATAAGCACTAAATGTGATAGAAAATAGAACATGGGGAATTTAGCTTAAGGTTATATGCCTTCAGAACTCAGTGACTTTCTAAACTGATTTTATAATTAGGAAGATATTTTTAGCTTATTTTTCAACTGGAAGGTTTTAGTATGCTCACCTTAATGCTCACAGCTGGCTAACAGTTGTGAGTATGTAAAACACAGTTTATTCTTGTATTATTGTTTATTAATAATTGTACAAACAACTATAAATCTACTTTTGCCCACCCTGAATGTAATTTCACTTGAATATTTTCTGATTTAAAAAAAATTTAATCTTTTCCCCTTGGTGCAGCAAAGTGCGAAAGTAACAGCTTCACCGAGTGCTGCACCCAGACTGAGAGGTGGTGAAACCGGGCAAAGCAGGAGGTTCTAGTGATTGCCACACATGCTCTTCCTTGGACCCTGATGAAAGAGGAGTAGGATATCATAGTGCCCAGCCTGGAGGAGCCCGTGGCTTCGTGTAAGGACAGTCCTATTGGCAAAAGTGACTTACAGTGTCAGCCAATGCTGCTGGTTACACAAAGGAAAGGGCCTGGGGGAGGGGTGCCCCAGTGCGCCTACACCCCCCAGAGTAACTACTTGACCCCAGGAGCAGAGAGCCCAGAGCCTGGAAAAGTGTGTGAAACCAAAGCCTCAGAGGAGTCAGCAAGGACAGTGGCTCTAGGAAGCTGGCAAGGAACTGAAGAGCCCATTACAGTGCCAGGAGGCTGGCCTCCCCCGCAGGTGATGGTACTCCAAGGCAGGTAGTTAAGCAGGGGAGGGACCAAAGCAGCCCCATATTTTAGATAGGGGACAGAGGGAGGATGAGCTGGGTGGGGGCAGGTCCAAGGATTGGGGTAGTGCTTTAAAGGTCTGGGGACCCAGGGGGCTCAGTGAGGCACTGACATGTAGGTGACAGGAGGTGCAGGAGAAGTGGAGGCCGGCTCTCACCTTCTGCTGGCCTCCTGGTGGCATGGGGAGATGTGAGTGCCCTGGTGGAGTGTTTAGGGCACATCAGAAAGAGATGGCCAGAGAGCAAATAGAAATGTAGAGCTCAACAGGAGGCTGTCTGTCTGGAGACATGTGGAAAGAGTCAAGGAAGGGAGGAGCTTGGCTTGGAAAAAGAGACCAGATGGCTGTCACGAAGATATTCTGAGGCCTGAAGGGCACGAGGAGATGGGAACTGTCCATTCTGGCCCCTAGAGGGAACTAACTTTTACACAACTGCCATGTTCTAGACGGCTGGCTAAGGAACCTAGTAAAGCTAACTGAAACCCTCCCACCAGTGTCTGCATCCCCCAAACAAGGAATGTGTTCCTTTAAACACATTTAGAGCCCCCTGCGCTCTGCACGCCCCCTCCCTGCCCACAGGTACCCTCTCGCACGGGCCCTGGCCCACAGCCTCAGAAAGGACACCGGGCAGTGTGCCAATCGGATGAAATCCCTCCAGATTTCCGCGGGCCACGGGATCACTCACACTCCACTGGGCTCCGTTTTTATTTGCTTTCTGTATCCAGAAGCGGATTCAGCTACTGTAGCTAACACGTAGGCGCAGATTCCAAGAGTCAGTGTGACGGAGCAGGGACGCCGGGGCGGAGGTTTGGGGCACTTTGTCTCTCCCCCTCTAGCTCCACCATACCCACCTCGGGCCGCCAGGGCCTGCGGGGCGCGGGGCACGGCCAGACCCGCCGGAAGAAGCCTCTGCGCCAGCCCCCTCTCCGTAGCCAAGGTGCCGGGGCTCCATAAGACCCCAGTCTCGGCCTCGGACTCCCTCCGAGCGACAGAGGCAGGTTCCCGGCCGGTCCCTGCGGCAGACCGCAGAGGATGTGCGGCCTCGCCGGGCGGAAGTTCGAGGGCGCGAAGGGCAGAGGGTCACCT